TATATAAAACTCAAACACAAATGTTTGTCCCATTTTTGTTGCTATTTTTGTTTATGTTCTGCGTTTATTTTCCCCCGTTTTAGGTCGTTTCTTAGTTGTTGCCGGTCCATTTAGTCGTTTCTCGTGTTTTAGTATTATTCAGTCGTGTTGCGTGTTTTCTCTGCTTTTTTTTTTCGTGTTTGTCTGGTTTTGGCGGTTTCAGGTTGTTCCGGGTATCAGGTGTCTCATCCCAGTTCACATGTCCAAACACTCAGAGGTCGAGTTTCCAGCTCGGGCCGCACTCGAGCCATGCTAGCCGAGCACGCGAGCCAAAGGAAAGCATTTTTTGGGCATTCCAGGCCCTTAGCGCCGCTAAGGTTAGACGGTTAGCGGCGCTACACACTATCATCGACGACTGGGGCGAACGGCTAAGGCACCTTAGCGGCGCTAAGGTCTGTTATCAGCAGGCACGATTTTTATTGGAGTAGGATACATTTTTCGAACATAGGGTTAATGGGGAGGAGAGACTGGTATTATTTTTCGACTTTTTCACTCTAAAAACCTGTTTTTCCCTTATCTTTAACTGGGAATTGATCTTGGATTGTGAAAACACTAAGATTCAACTTGTGGATTTGGATTGTTCGTCGATTTTCGACATTGGATTCGTATTTAATCGTAAGCTTTCTATTTAAATTTCTCTGTGATGATGATGGCTTTGATTGATATTGATGTTGATGTTGAATTGATTATGAGTAGCTAAATCCTTTAGCTAGGGTTAGGGGAAGATCGTTCCGGTTTGATTTCGTTCATATGCATGATAGTTGCTCAATCCTCTCGAATTGTGCTTAGCCTAGGGTTTTGATGTTTGATCACCATCTTAATCTATTTAATCGATTTTAAAACTGAAAAGAGAGAAATCGTTCGATCTAGGCTCGTTAGGAATAAGCTTGTTCGTAATAGTATTGCTTATGTGTTGATTGTTTCAAGAATTACTCGTTAATGTCTATCCTCTTGCTACGAAGAGTTATTGAGGATAGATCTCTAGATGAGTAGTTTAGCGAGACATTTAACCGAGCTTTTGATTGCTCGTTAAGTGTATTGAGAACCGGAATTGATCGACCCTGATACCCTAGCTCCTTTATCATAAATTGAGTTTGAGTATTGAGTTGTGAACTCGTGATTCCTAGTTTTGTCTAGCCTTTTCAATTACTTGCTTTTCAATTAGTAGTCGATAAACAAACCTCCAAACTTGATTTAGAATGTTTAGGATTTTCACTTCTTTTATTTTCCATTTTTGTGTTTGAATAATCGTACAAAATAATCCGGTTGACCTTCCTCGAGAGACACAACCCGGTGTCGAATCTTTTGATTTAACTCCGGAAAATATTAACAACAACAAACAAGGTTCGAATACAAGGGAAATACCCACGAAGACCGAAAGCAAAACTAAGAGACACATCAACAAGATGGTCTAGAGCCTCAAATAAGCACACCTGAAAATGAACCACAAAACAAAAGAAACAAGGTCCTCACCACTGCCCCAAAGCCTGGTGAATCAACCTGCTTCTAAACCAAACTAAGAATATGAACAAAATACAAACACACAATACACCAAATAACACAATGAAGAACTACACAGAAGCACAATGCGAAGAAGCAGAAGAAAACTACTTCCAATCTGAATGAGCAGCTTTGATAACAAGGTGCAGTGGGGTTTGAATCTGTAATGCCCCGTTTGATTATTGAATTTTGGGAATTATTTATTATTTATTTTAATTATTATTATTATTTGCCTTTATTGTTGTTGTTATTATTATTGATTTCATGTTAAATATCATTAAATGTCTATATGATTTATCTGTTAAATTTACGATGAATGTCCACTTGTCTAAATATGATTTAATTGTCAATTTGTAATTAATTGTCTAATTGTCTAAATGTAATCATTATTTAAATAAAATGTGTATTTGTATTTTATTAATATTATTATATTTAAAATCTAATTGTGTGTATTATAAATATATATAATGTCGGTTTTGTAAATTTAAAATTTTCGAGTCGCCATATTTTATTTTTTCGAGTGTTATGTATTTTCGGATTTCATAAAATTGAGCCGTTTCGACCCGAATCTCGAGTACTATATTTCTCGACCCCTTTAGTGTTTATTTCGGCCCATTTGGACCCTTGTTGAAACCCGGCCCTTCAATGGTGACTTTTGGCTCATTGTAATTATTTGAATTTTCAATGAGCTATGGATTATTTTGGTATTGATTTTCGCCATCAATTAACCCATTCCTAACCGTCCATTAAGCCTTTTAGGCCAAAGTTTGACTTACTCATTCATGGTATAAACTAGTACGTAGCCCGTGCGATGCACGGGTCTGAGTTTTCAGATGGCCTGTCCATTAGGTTTAAAAAAATAGAGTTAGATCATCTATTCTATACATCTTTTGATCATCGTTATTTTTTTAGTTATAACGTTAAACCTCAACCTATTAGCTCTAGTATGTAAATTAATTATTAGCTCTAGTATGTAAATTAATTAATATATTTTCTCGCTAAAACGTTGATACTAATATAAATTTGATTTAGTATATATATTTATTCTTTAATATAAAAAATAATAGTTTTACATATTCTGGTATAATACTTAATTTATAATTTTATCATAAAATTTATTGTCATTATAAATTTTTTAATAAATATTTTAGAAAATAAAAAAAATATTTATCTATTTACAAACTCATTATCTCGAGTTTGAAACCATAAATTTCATTCTTCAAATAAAATTTGGAAAATTTTAACTCGTAATCAGAGATGAATTTGAATTGATTTGAAATGCCTAATCCATCTCAAATTTATTTTGTGAAAAAAGGCTATCCAAAATGTTTATACCAAGAGTCCTAATATTTTTAAATTGTAAAAAGTCTTCATGCAAAATATCTCCACTGACTTTGGCGGACCACAATATCGTATATGAGTCAACAAATTATCTCCCAGTTTTTTCAAAATTGTACAAATCCTTCATGCAAGGAATTTTCACTAATTTGAGGACCAAAAAATTACTTAAATTTAGGAAGGCATAAATTGTGTACGTAGATACTGTTTCTGTTGTATGTTTAAAGAAAACAAATTCAAAAATGGTATTGATATGGGATTGTATTATGAGGGATTTAACAAAAATACAAATGTTTAAGATACGATTTGATTTGAATTTTTTAAATTAAATTCCACTTTTTTAGGCCGCCTAAGTCAAATGATGATAAGGATTAATGTTAAAAAAAAAATAAAAAAATCCAAAAATAATAAGCAATTAATGTTGTCCTAAAATTTCTAGTTACTATTTATGGTAAATAGTAATTCTTATTATATATATATATAGATGTGTATATTGAAACTTCTCTGTATTATTTTCTCTGCATGTTGTGAAGGAGGTGATAAAAAATGCTATCAATGAACACCCTTTTATACACAGGCCTAAATGGATTGACATCACGTAAAATATGGAAAGATTTTGTTAAGATATTATTGCCGAAATTGTTAACGATAAAGAAGGATTGATTTTGATAAGATATTAAATTGATTTTGATAAGGCTGTAATACCAGTGCCTTTTTAGGATTTTTTGTTGATGATAAATATGGATTGATATGCACATTTATCTTCTTGTAAATTATGCAATCACAAATTCAAATTGAACGGTTTTTAAATATGGTATCAGAATTTCAAATTGATTTTTA